CGTCCACTTATATATGATATTATGGGATCGTGTGGCACGCCGTCCACTTATATATATATGACATTATGGGATCATGTGGCATGCCGTCCACTTATATATATATGATATTATGAGATCGTGTGGCACGCCGTCCACTTATATATATGATATTATGGGATCGTGTGGCACGCCGTCCACTTATATATGATATTACGGGATCGTGTGGCACGCCGTCCACTTATATATATATATATATACATCATGGGAACCGGAGTCTTGTTATTTCATTTTTATCTGTTACTCCCCGATAGCATGTCCCCTCCCAGTTTTACTTTGTATTATCTTGTTATTGTTTTCTTGCACGTGTTGTATATATATATCTGTACAGGTTAATTGTGGTAGGTACTGTCTAGCCTCGTCACTACTTCGCCGGGGTTAGGCCAGGCACTTACCAACACATGGGGTCGGATGTGCTGATGCTACACTCTGTGCATTTTTGGTGCACAGATCAGGGAGTAGTTTACGGACCGCAGCAGTAGGACTTCTGGGAGCTATCTTCAGTCCAGGGACTCTCGAGGTAGCCTAGCTGGCGTTCACAGGCCGAAGTCCCTTTCCATATTTTTCGTTTGTTCATCTTGTATCAGACAAACATGATGTATTTCCTTTCAGACATTGTTTGTAGTATTCTGTAGTAGTCCGTGAGCTGGTGACACCAGACCTTGGGTAGTGATGTGTAATAAACTTCCGCACTTTTGGTTTTCAATCGCTTTAGATTTAAAGTCTTTAACTTAGATTTTGTCTCATTTATTTATTGTTTGAAAGAAAGCAGGAAAGGTGTTTTACATATTTGGCTTGCCTAGCTCCGATAGTAGGCGCCATCACGACACCCGATGGTGGGAAATCCGGGTCGTGACAGAATACTAACTATACTAAGCAAAAGATGCCTACGAAATCCCTTGTCTTCATGCATTGGCAGTACTGTCTCCATGATATGAAGGAAAATGTCCTTCCAATGATGTGGTAGTTTCTGAATATGAATCAATCTATCCACAAAAACTCTAGCTTGTTCCATGTCATGCCAACATATGAACCAGTGCTCCATTCTTGTAAACAACTGCTCTCTTGCTTCATTTTTGTTCTCCCTTTTGCTTGCTTTCTTCCTGATCACCATTAACTTCCTTTTGTGAGTTCCTTCCTTGGATGCCCTGCTTAGTTGTTGTGCCTGTATGTAGCCCCATCTTCTTTCAAGATTTTCTGCTAAGAGTAGCCAGTTATGCCTTGTGACTTGCAAATCCCAAACCTGCTCTATAATGGTATATTTAAGCCCCGTTTCACGACTGAACTATGTGTATTTGCTTGAACCTTTTGCATGATTTGATCCCTGAGTTATATTAGTGTGTAATTGTATTTGGCATTTGTTCCAAACGATAGCTACATTACCCAGAAATCGTATCCAAAACCAGCTTGTTACGAGATACGTTGGTCGAAACTGGGCAGGAGTTTTGCCCATTGCTATCGATGTAAACCCTATGCCGTCCCCAGCTTGCCCTCCAGTGGAATGAGTATAGAATACTAATACCACCACTTGAAGGTTGGGCTATAAGAAGAGCACAAGTATTTTATTGTATCCACTCTTCGTGCTATCTAAAGTGTACCTGCACCTTTTGTATTCAGCTACTTGTGATTGTTGCTGTGCCTCAATGCCTGCATTTGGTTGACGAACTCTATGTATATATGAGGTGTTAACCTCCACATGATCATGTTGTCCACCATTTGTACCTTTTCCTGCTTGCCCCAGACATATTATCCCGCAACATAATCCCAAACATCTGATGGCCACACTTTTGAATCTCCATTGTGCATGACTGCACGAAGCATATGCGACGTAGCTCAAAAATTACTGCCCTCAAAGACGTGATCTTCCAGGGCGCAAGCCATGTCTTTAAGAGAGCATGACATGCTTCATGCTTGTACGTCACAACGAATTAAGAATGTAGTCGCCCAGCATAATCTCTCTGAAGTCGGTCTGCACCCCAATTAAACAACTCCCGTACCCAGTCCAAAGATTCAATTACACACTTTTCTCTTTTTTTTTCTCCTATCCTCTTTCCTTATTTTTCTGCTTCAATTCTAGGGAGTTGAATTGCTCTACCCGAATTTTTGTGATATACTCAAACAACGTTCAAAACTTTTAATTCTCATTGTCTTTTCCATTATAGATTAGGCTAAAAAACTTAGGACCACCCCTATACCTCAGTTTAATATAAATATTATATCTGTCAAATATTGTTCTCTCCCCTTTTAGACTAATTCGCTTAATTTATGTTCGGTCGAGACCCACCATTTTGGACCTCGAGGGGTGCCATAGGATCATTCCATGCAATGCTTTGTAGCTCCCTCAAGTCGGGGTGTTACTCGTAGCATTAGAGCACGGGCTATCATCTTCTTTACTATGTAATTATTATCTTTAAGTTGTTACCTAAAGCGTACTAGTTGATTCTAAATAGTACTCTATGCGTGCACTAACCGTCCCTTACCTATGGCTCTGGAGGTATTAGGACCTCTATTTGGGATAGTTCTAGACCATTCTATACTATTTAAAAATGTGAAATCTAGGCAACAAACAAAAACAAGTAGGACATTCAAATAAAGAACAAGTATGGGCTTACATTAACCTCCACACATAAACAACAAAAGCACGCAATTGAATCAGCAAACTTTGTTAATTTTGGAATCCTATAGGCAAGATATCTACGTGAGAAAAACAAAGTGTAAAGACAATTTTATTAAGGCGAGCATTGGGCCTATTTGTTTGCCTACTGATTTTATTCGACATGGATATGGGTATTTCAGGCAGTAGTATGTCACAGTTTTAAACCCAGAATTATTAAGTCCTATAAATACATTGCCTAAGTGATTGTCAATAACGATTGAATTCAAAATCGATTAACAGAATCCTATAGGCATGATTTCTACGAGCTTATTAATTACAGACCTATGGACATAGTTTCTGAGATTAGCACTAATTTTAACTCATAAAGACAGTTTTTATTCCTTTTAGATCCTATAGGCATGTTTTCTAATTGCTGAATTGATTTAAACCCCTATAGGCATGATTTCTACGAGCTTATTAATTACAGACCTATGGACATAGTTTCTGAGATTAGCACTAATTTTAACTCATAAAGACAGTTTTTATTCCTTTTAGATCCTATAGGCATGTTTTCTAATTGCTGAATTGATTTAAACCCCTATAGGCATGATTTCTAATTGCGAGGTTGATTTAAACTACTACAGGCAAGATTTCTAAGTTTCAAAACTGATTTCACCCTATAGGTATGATATCTATTAGTTTTAAATCCTATAAGCATGATTTATAGGTTTGAAACTGATTTTTATTCCTATAGGCATGATATCTATTAATCATATTTGGATAGAAATTAACAGATTGTCATGAAAGATAATCAACAAAAAGTTCTATAGACATGGTCACTAATGCACATTGGGTTTGAAAATATGTGTAGATCCTATGAACAGAATTTCTAATGCAGAATCAAGCGAAAAGTACTATTGAGCAGGATTTCTAGCATGCAAGCACAGAATCAAGAAAATCCTATAGGCAGGATCTCTAAACATAGTCCAGCATTCACGTAATTCAATCAATATAATTAAACCTATAGACAGAATTTCTACCCAGTTTTACAAAGGTATAAGAACCCCCCATCTTTTACTAATAAACCCCAAATCTGTTATTACAAAGATTATCACAGCCAAGAATAAATGAATTACATAATAGTAACGATTACACTATAGGGAGCCTTCGTAGGCCTAATCTAAACCAGGGAACCAGGACTTCAAACACAACAACTCTGGAGCATAATAGTGATCAATCTATGGCATATAAAATTAGGTTTCCAATATGTCAAAATTCCCAAGGACCTCAGGGACCCCGGTAATGCTCACATCAGAACCATGCATTCAGCAAAAAATTCATAAAAGATTGGAAAATCAGCCCCAATATGTCAGAGTTCAGAGGAGTTTCAAGGACCATAAGCAGTGCTCACACTGGGGGTGGTGAGAACCTAAATGACTAAGAATAGGAGTTTGAAAACCAGTGCTTAAAAGGTAAGGGGCAAGTTTTGAAATAGTTTATTTTTCAGAAGCAAGCAAATTTAGAATACAGAGTTACAAATAGAACTGCACCAATAAACAAACAAAGTTCATGTTCAGCACATAGTTCAAACAAATTGGCATTTGATTAGCCTGAATATTAAAGCAATCATGGCTTAAACACAGAGGCAGAAACAGACTAGACCTATAAATTAAACCACAAACATATTTGATTACATACTTACAGTATCTGGCAAGGTTTAGAAAGAAAAAAACATACTAAACATTAAAACTAACTTAGAAAAAGGGGTCACATTATTGAACTGACTTATGTTAACATGGTTACTAAATAGGATCACGTAGTCATATAGAAAGCAGAATTATGCGGAGGATTAAAATAGACTAATCGAATAAAGCATAGAGAAACAGAATAGCAAGAGTTAGGGCGTACCAGTTAAGTGAGAAAGCAAGTAAGTATACCACAACAATGAGGTTCCAGAATAATTTTGGCCTTGGTTTTCAGCTGGCCAAAATTAAGAGATGCTTAGCACAGAAATCAGAACAAGAGAGCAAGAGAGAGCTTAAGCTTCTTAGTAAGAATCAGAGAGTTCGAGACTTGTAGAGTTGTCCTAAAGGGAGTGAGGAAGGGGGTTTAAATAGCACTCAATGAAGTAAACAAATAAGGTAATAAATCAGTCCTACACAAATAAGGTATGAGAATAAATTAACATCATTTAGAGTCGGCATAAATCAATTAACAGGCATAAAATCAGGCTATCAGTTAATGAAATCAATCAGTAGTCAAGTAATAAATTGAATAAGGTAAGAAATAATTCCAAAATTAATTAGAAGTCGATTTTAATAATCAGAACATAAAATCAGGCCAGTAAGGTTAAGTTAAGGGAAGTAGCACAAATTATAAATCAAATACTGGTCCAAATAAGGTAAGAACGGGTAAATCGAATAAGTAAACACCACTACTAAAGGAAAGACTAATTTCAAACCTTAATTTAGATAAGTAAAATTAATCGACAGATTTAAAGGCAAACAGGCAGAAACAGTAAAATGAACATTTAAATAATCGGAATCCTAGGCAAATAGACAGAAATACAAAGACATATAGTAAGTAAAATAAATAAGAAAACCCTAACAGATACCCAGAGACGAAAACGTTTAAAGGTTAAACATTTTTTTGCAAAAAAGTCTGTTGAAATCAAGACCCTAATTCTAAGATAAACGAGATCGGTCAGGAATAATAATAGAAAAAGACTAGAAAATATAGAGACAGAGGTACTGAAATGTTAAAGGAGAAATACCAAAACGAACATAAAATCGTTTCAGATCTAAACAATTCAACCAAAAAATAGCCAGATTCATAAAATAAACAGAAGTTGAACCAAATCTGGTGTGAACTAGAGATTTGAAATCCTAAGATACGAAAATATTCGTACTCACAAGTATTAGGATGAACATAGATGGAAAGAGCCAAGATATGAGAGACTTTGAACCAGATCTGGTTCGAATCTCTTGATATTCACTTGCCATTTGAGGAAAATGAATCAATTAACATCAAGATCAGGTAGCCAGTAAAGAAACAGAGCCAAATAAGGCAGTGAATCAAGGGAAGATCCCATGAATCGAAAGGAAAAATATGACGGCGGACTAGGGTTTGAGAGTGAAAGAGGCGAGGAGATGAGAGGATCAGAAGATGGCAGGTGGGGAGAAGAAATGAATTAGGGTTTGGGGGTGTTTGGTATATTTAGAAGGGGGTGAATGATTTAGGGCCATTGTTCTTCTGAGATCAACGACCAGGATTAGATTTTACATGGAGCGGGTTTAATTGGTCGGGGCATGGGTATGGGTAGTTGGGTTAGTGTATTGGGTATTGGATTATTGGGCTGGATAGGGTATTGGGCTGGGGTAGGTCCAAAAAAATCAATTAAAAAGTGCTATATTTTAAATATCCATTTAAATTAATAAAATAATTTATAAAAATAATTAATAAATGATAAAAATACTATTTGTATATGAAATAATTTAAATAATTACTTAATATTATAAAAATATAAAATGTTATTTTTCGTGTAAATAATATAATTATGCATATATGGGCAATTATTGCAAAATAAAATGTGCAATTCTAGTCTTAAAAATGCAAATTATAATTATAAAAACGTAATTAAAATATTTAAGCACTATATGAGCATAAATGATAAATTTAGATGATTAAATCATTATAAAAATGATATGAGAGATAATTATTGGATATTTGTATAATAAAAATGCAGAAATTAACTGATTTAAAGCCCTTAAAATTATAGAAAAATTATAGAAATACTTGTGCATATTTGTAAATGCATGTGCACTACTTTGAAAATATATATGCATATTTAAAAATATTATCAACAGCTGCCCCTCTTTATCCGGGAAGGATGAAAGAGCTGTCGGGTTAAGAAATGATGACCGAATTTGACCGAATGTGTCACGACCCAATACGAAAATATTAACAAGTTCTAGTTTTACTTTACCAAAACAATTATAGCAATTTCTAAATTTTGAATTTAAAACAGGTGGTAATTAGCAACGTACATTAATAATCATACAATCCCAAAAGAATAGTCTACTAATGTGTCTGCCAAGACCTGGTGTCACAAGTATATGGGCATCTAGTAGAATATACAGAAGAATAAATCTATCCTACTGTCCAAGATAGAATAGACATCCAAAAGTAAAGAGAGACTCCATCATGCTGCTGAACAACATAGGAAGGGAGCAACTCACCGTGGAATCTCGGACTACGATCAAGTATGCGCACCAGACTTGTAACCAGATGTACCTGCCTCAGATCATGTACAATTAAGTAAAAAAGTGTAGTATGAGTACATAAACAATATGTACCCAGTAAGTATCTCATCTAATCTCGAAGAAGTAGAGACGAGAGGTCAACTTGACGCTTACTAGGGTCAATTAATATAAGAAAGTGTTATACTAAGCATAGATGTCACAAATAAATAACAATTTATAGCAAGAAGTGATAGGTCATTTCCTAGGTATTATCATAGTTAGCCATTTACATTTCTGGGCATTTAGCAAGGCAAGTCATGAATAAGAATTCACATAGATATCATGCGTACATTATGCCGAGGTCGTACGGCCCGGTCCAACATAAAAGGAAATGTGCACTGCCAGAGGGTCGAATGGCACGAACCATAGATGCATCTATTTCTACCGAAGTGATCGGCCCGATCCATAAATATCATTTATCATCAAGAGGGTACATAAGGCACAATCATAGTCAAATAAATTCATACAAGTTATCAAGTGAGTGCATGCATTCTCATACATTTATTTCCAACCCCTAACAATTCCTAAGTGATACCATTAACATGAAAGGATATATACATTTGCAAATATAGCATGATACAGGTCCTAAACTACCCGGACAATAAACATAATAGTAGCTACGTACGGACTCTCGTCACCTCGTGCGTACGTAGCCCCCATAATTAGCAACACATGATTAATTAACTCACCTATGGGGACAATTCCCTCTTACAAGGTTAGAAAGGAGACTCACCTCGCTCCAAAGCGTACTCCCAATATCAAGAACGTGCTCACACCCTCAATTTGGAGCCGAACGATCCAAAACTAATTAAACGAGGTGGAAACATGAATAGGAGTGCCCAAAGGCTTAGGAGGAATAACCAGGAAATGAGCAAACAGAGATGATACATATGAATAGGTAGACCCTAAATCAAATAATACCGAAGCATCTCTACCGCAGGTAGAAATAATATCTGTGATAACGGCATCTGAGGCCAATGCATCTGGTCTGACCGGAAGGGCATAGAATCTGGCTGGAGAGCCGGCTAGCTAGCCTCTACCTGAGTGAGCAGTAGTTGGCTGACCTCTCCTTGTCTGGCCTCCACCTCTAGGACGTCCTCTACCACTTTTCCCCCCGACTCTAGGTGGATGGGTAACCGGTGCTGTAATCATGAGCTGCTGACCTTGCTGCACTGCTTTGCCCCAAAGTTTGGGGCAGTACCTCTTCATATGACCCAGGTCTCCGCACTCAAAACAACCCCACGGTGCGGCGGCCTGCTGTCCCGACGGCTGACCCTGATGGCCTGTAGACCCACTGGAAGAAGCCTGAATAGCCGGTGGACGGTATGAACTCTCCGGCATAGTACTAAAATAGGAACTAGAAGAACCCTGGCACCTGAATACCCACTAGAAGAACCCTGAATAGCTGGCGGGCGATAAGAACTCTCTGGTATGGCGCTGAAATAAGGGCATGCTAGAGCACCCCGAGCAGGTGGTGGTGCTGAATATGGTTGCCTGCTGGGCTGACCCCTCCCAAACTGACCTCTACCCCTAGCCGGGGCACCTCTGAACTCTCCAGAGCATCTAGCCCTCTTTCTTGCTACATTTGCTCCCTACCTCTCAGATGGTAGCCCTCGATCCTCCAAGCAATCTCCACCACTAGCTGATAAGAAGTCCCTATCTCTACCTCTCGGGTCATATTGGCCCTAATGCCAGAATGCAACCCTGCAATGAACCTCCGCACCCTCTCCGCATCAGTAGGCAGTATCATCAATACATGGTGGGATAACTTAGAAAACCTCGCCTCATAGTCGATTACATACATTTGACCCTGCTCAAGTTGCTCAAGCTGATACCGTAGCTCTTTCCTCTCAGACGGTGGGATATACCTGTCCAGAAATAACTGTGTGAACTGACTCTAAGTGATGGGAGGAGAACTTACTAGCCTGCCAAGAATATATGACTGCCACCATCTACGGGCCCTGCCCTCCAGTTGGAAAGTAGTGAAGTCAACCCCGTGCGACTCCAATATCCTCATGTTGTGCAGTCTGTCCCTGCACCTATCAATGAAATCATAGGCATCCTTATGACGATCCCCGCCTAAGACAAGAGGGTGTAGCCTGGTCCATCTGCCTAATAACTTCTGCGGATCACCATCCGTAGCTGGTCTGGGCTCGGGCACTACTGAAACAATTGGTTGAGCCCCATCTGCGAGTAGTGCACCCGGAGTCTGATACACCGTATCTGCATAGCTAGGAGCCTGAGCAGTAGGAGTCTATGCTCCCCTCCTGCCTGTGATGTAGCTGGATCCGCTGGAAATTAACCAGCTTGAGTTATAGTATCCATGAACCGCAGCATACGGCCCATAACCTCCTGGAAACTTGGCGTCGTCATGAAGTCTGCCGGTGTAGGCTTAGCTGCGGGTACCTTGCCATGCTCCTCAATGATAGGATCTCCTACAAGATCCACTAGTGGTGCTACTGGTACAGCTCTGGGACGCCCTCATCCCCTACCTCAGGGCGGTGCCCTCCCCGGCCTCTACCTCGGCCTCTAGCAATAGGGGGGAGGGGGGCAGCTCCTCCCGGGTCTGGAATATCTGTCGTGCGTGTCCTCACCATCTGTGAGAGAATAGAAGCAGGAAATTTAGTATACCAACCACTGCACGATAGGAGATGAATAAAGAGTAGTTTCCTAACACCCTATCGCCTCTCAAAGATAAACACAGACGTCTCTGTACCGATCCACAAGACTCTATTAGGTTTGACCATAACTTGTGAGACCTACGTGAACCTAGTCCTCTGATACCATGTTGTCATGACCCAATTTCACTACAGGTCGTGATGGCGCCCAACGCCGTTGTCAGGCAAGCCAACGAGGAAATATTAACAAGTTCTAATTTTACTTTACCAAAATAGTTACAACAATTTCTAAATTTTTAATTTAATTAGGTGGTAATTAGCAACGTACATTAATAATCATACAATCCCAAAAGAATAATCTACTAATGTGTGTGCCAAGACCTGGTGTCACAAGTATATGGGCATCTAGTAGAATATACAAAAGAATAAATCTATCCTACTGTCCGAGATAGAATAGACAACGAAAAGTAAAGAGAGACTCCATCATGCTGCTGAACGGCATAGAAAGGGAGCAGCTCACCGTGGAATCTCGGACTACGATCAAGTATGCGCACCAGACTGGTAACCAGATGTACCTGCCTCAGATCCATTACAACTAAGTACAGAAGCGTAGTATGAGTACATAAACCATATGTACCCAGTAAGTATCCCGTCTAATCTTGAAGAAGTATAGACGAGAGGTCGACTTGACACTTACTAGGGTCAATTAATATAAGAAAGAATTATACTAAGCATGGATGTCACAAATGAATAACAATTTAGAGCAAGAAGTGATAGGTCATTTCCTAGATATTATCACAGTTAGCCATTTACATTTCATGGCATTTAGCAAGGCAAGTCATGAATAAGAATTCACATAGATATCATGCACACATTATGCCGAGGTCGTACGACCCAGTCCCAACATAAAAGGAAATGTGTACTATCAGAGGGTCGAATGGCGCGAACCATAGATGCATCTATTTCTACCGAGGCAATCGCTCGAGTCATGATACATCTTCGTAGCGCCTGAGTGAATAGAATACCGCAAACTATGTGCCTCTGCTAGAATCCTCTCCCTCAAGCCATCAACATTAGGAATACATAGGCGACTCTGGAGTCGTAGGACACCATCCTCGCCAATATAAATCTCCTTGGCACTACCTTGTAGCATTGTCTCTCTAAGAACTGCCAAATACGGATCATCGAACTGCCGGGCCTTGATCTCTCCCAATAATGAAGACTGAGCAACAACACATG